GATTAAGTTGGCATTAAAGAAAGGAACAATGATCACTTTCCAAATACAACCGTTTTCTGTTTTAAAAAAAGGGCACTGGTGACTCTATATATACAGGGTGAGTCAAAAAAAAGGAAAACTGTGCACCCTATTTTTATAAAAGAAGTACTGCATGTAGCGCTTTCCAGATCTAGTATATGAAAGCCCAATTATCAATTAATAAGCTTTCTTTTAGTGAAAGAATAATTCATATCACTCATGTACTTTTCCAGTTATGGAATTTTGAACACAAACACCGTTTTTAACCTTGTCCACGGTGACAATCTTGCGCTAAATTCCTTTTTTTTTTTACTCACCCTGTATTAGTGTCGGACCCGCTATTGTAATAGTCTTGCCTAGCTTGTTTTCAACAGTATTTATATTCAATAGACTAGGAGCCATCCATTTTTATTCATCATTTTCACGTTCACTTTTTTTTCTAGAAACCCCCTCCCCATCCCAGAGAGTACAAACTGAAAAGGAAAAAAATATGTCTTCTCTGCTTATCATGGAGGTAGGTATATCGTCTTTTCAATTTGAAATATCATACCACACCCTGCGTAAGGTATACGCTCGTTAAAAATGATGAAAAATATGGATGGCCCACAAAATTAAACTCGAGGCGGACTGTCGTTGGTATCCCCAAGGTCCAGGTTAAAATTGATGAGAATTGCAGCTCCTCGTGCAACGTTGCAAAAGACCCGTTTTGTAATCATACATTTTGAAAGGTCAGCAAAACAAGTTCAGCAAAACAACCTGAAGTGATGGGCTCAAAAACAAGTCTTTCGCGAGAGGAAACAGATTAACACGAACTAGATTAATAACAAAATATGCAGGCCGACACTCTTACTTGAAACTGTTTTGGACGGTACATCAAAGTAGCAAATCTCTCATTAAAAATGAACTAGATTCTCACTGAATTAATACATTTATGCTGGTATTTCGGGTACACTAATAATGCATTTGTAATGACTTGAAAATGAGATTTGGACGGGTATTCAAACATCTGCATTGCCCGTGGTAAAAGGTTTAATTCTTCTCAATATGCGAGTCGGTATTGTTTGGACTGAATTAAACTAACTTCTTGTTCAAATTGTCCTCCAAAAGAGTTACTGATTGACGCCTCAAATTATTTGGTTAAGAAATTAAAAAGCCATTTAGATTAACGAACACGAAGCAGAGGATACATTTTCATTTACACATTGCTAACAATTTCAGAACTGTAGCCTTCCGTGCTTGTAAAAAGAAAAGTGAGCATCACGCACTGAGAAAAAAATTATAGCCTTGGGATATGAGACGATTAGAATCTTCGAGTAATGTATTGATGTCTTGAAGGGTCGCCACGTTTTGGCAAGGAAAATCTCATCGATTTGGCCCCCTGTGGGACTTACGAAGACAATACACGTGTCCTGAGACCAGGACGGTGTACCGAAGTTTGATTCATTCCGGAGCGGAAAATGAGTCTCGTGCTCCCGGGGGGCTTCGCGGCCTCATCCTCCCATGGCGAGTGCCGGGTCGAGGGGCATCACTGAAACGAACGGCGGTGTCTATAGGACACGTCTGGTTGAGACATGGACTTCCTCGCGACAATACGACACCAATTTTGCTAAATTACTCGTGATGGTATATCTTTCACGAGGCACATCAGCTGTGTTTTTCAAAGGAACATATACGTTCATAGCTCCTAGTTCTTCTTGACAGCACGTCATGCGTTGGCAGCTAGTAGCGTTGGCTCTTCTGGAATGCAATTATAAAATTGCTAATTCAAGAAGGACATGTAGTTGAAACTCCAGAGGGACTTTTCACTTGTCTAGCTGAATTGCTCGCCAACCCACGCTCGGTCTACCAGACTTCCCTTAATGCATCAAAAACATGGCTTGATTAAAGATCCTGAAAATGCCGGAGGTTTGTTTATCCCTGTCCCCTACTCAATTCCCGACCTATTTAGACATTAATTGGTAACGCAATGAATAAATTAGAAAACTAGATAGGAAACCATGAATATTTTTCATAGTTCTATATCGATTAGTGAGGTGTCCACGTCTTACACTGTGCTTTAAGTCGTTCACTGTTTCTCTCGATGGGTAGGTAAACATGTATATTCCAACGATGGTGGCGCACTTGGTGTAGACCTGGGGTGCGTTTTGGCGGTCATGAATTGGTTCGGTTGTTTCTTGTCGGCGAATTTCTTCGGGAATTTTAAACGGATGAGAATTACCCACGACAATGCAATACTCAAACCCCCAAAGCAATTAACCAAAGAGAAACAACAGAACCAGTTTTTGGTTATGACCGCCAAAACGCACCGCTGCATTCCCCGCGTATGCTCACCATATGCATTGCGACACCAGCGTTTCCCTGGTGGGTCGGGAACGATTGAAATTGTTTCCTCCAATAAACTGGGATAACAGAGAGATTGGGAACAAGTCTATGATATTTTAACCTCGTTCACCAACTTCAGACAAAAAGTATCACCTACATAACATTGATTAAGTCTATATGCAGTATTAGTCTGCAAAACATTTCGGAGAAAAAAAAACAATTTCAGGCCATTAAGTTGCATTAGATATTGTGCTTTGATTTCACGGCTTTTTCTCCGATATTTCGTATTGAAAACGATTGCTCAAAGGGATTTAACCAGAACGGCCATGCTTTTTATAATAATACCCTGAAATTTTCGCGTGTACTCGAACATGAAATTCACTAGATATCGACTACAAACTTGAGTGGATGCACCTTTAAAATACCAATCACTTATCACTCGATAGAAACGAATGAAGATTCTTTATTACTTTGAGTCATAATAATCTCGCACCACTTCACTGAAAGGAACCTGTTTTTCCCGTAGGACAGGTGTCAATGGTGGACAGGTACACATTGTACTATTAAAAAGGTAAGCGGGCGTTTTCCCAAACCACAGTGGATCAACTGAGTCTTGCCTGTAGCTTACTTTTTTTCTGCAACCAGGTATAAATGATCGCAACGCGCATGCGTCAGTTGTCCACGGAATGATGCTCAGACCTTAATTCCCGTAAAGCTGGGACTAGAGTCTACCAAATATTAAATTCAGTTGATTAAGAATTGCTTTTCTCTGGAAGTTTTTTCATGCATCTGTAGTTCTACACAATGGGTTGGATTTAGCCCACTCATTAGCGTAACGGGTGATCCTATAAGATAGCACTACCCGGTTCAAAAGAGTCAGTCAGTCAGTCAGGAAGATGAAAAGAGGGCCCTAGTACATGTATACAAATATTGAGTGGCTCAGAGTGAAATGGGAGGAATATTATCGCAAGGTCAAATCTGGACTTTTCCAGTTCACGAGGCTTTCCAGTTCATTCAGGTTTAGTTTCTTAAGATTCGGTCTCCAAACCGTCGTTGCGGTGTTATGTTGTTATTTATATGCGACAGTTCGTCTTACTTAGGCTTTTTAGTCTCCAAACCGTCGGGTTAATTGTTATTTATATACGACGGTTTTCCTGGTTCAGGCTTTCAATTATCATTCAGGTGGAACCGTCGTGTTCTAGTTATGTTGTTATTTATGTGTATATGCGACAGTTCTCCTCGAACGGATTTCTTAACCCTAAAAAGGGCCGGGTTATTTTGACCATCTCTGGGGGGGGGGGCGGATTCCCCCCCCCCCCACCTAAAAGATCTCGGCCATCGAGTGACGAACAATTTTGAAACTCGGTCATAGAGCAACTCATCATGAACATACCCAAGAAATTTAATGACTATAGGTCAAAGGGTTTTGGAATCATGGCGAATTAATTATTCATATGTACAAATGGTAATTCTCTGTGTGCACGACATATGGGAAAATTCAGTTCTCCCGGCGCATAGCGCCGGAATAATTTTTTTATGTTTTTGGTATCAAACGATGCGCAAGGCTCGATGCTAAAAAGTCAAACAGCTCGGGTCGCGAAAAAAAATTTCAAGGCAATCTCGGAAAAAGTCCGCCCCCGACCCTTTTAGGGTAAATATATCAATACGTCGCATATAAATAACAACGGGTCACGACGGTTCACATCTTGACATATAGTCGTGCAGTATTATAATCCGCCTCCAATCAGACTGGAGAGGGCGCATCCATGTTTTTAGAGACAGTGGGCAGATGTTGATGCCAATTTGGGAGTGTTTTCAACTGATGAAAAGAAAAACCTATCACTGAATTTTTGTAAAACTTTTAAATCGGAGCTTGAAATAGCAGATATGATTCAATTTCCCAATGACTTGAAGATTGTTGTATTCTGTCTGGTGTCACTACAATGCCCAAGTCCGTTATATTTCATTAAAATGTCACCGAAAGTGGACGCTTTAACATGTTGTTTTGGTGGGGGCCGTGTCAATAAACCCTGTTATAGATTGATTATTATACCAAATATATCAACAATCTCGATCATTACGTAAATATACCTTCAGTCAACTTGTGCATTACTCGCGGCCAGCATTAGAGGTTGAAGTATTATAAGATATATTTTAAAACCTTCATCAAGTGTAAAACAAACGCCAAATCTCTAGTATTATTTGTATCATTAATAATTAACAGGGACAGAAAGTCAGTCAAATTTAGAGCACCATCGTCCAATACATGATGTTTTTAGGCCAAATACACACAACGTAAAATGCTACAGCCTCAAGTTTTGCCTGGCCGAAAAAAAAAACATATCAGCAGCATTATAGAAGTCTACTAAATATTCGAGGTCACCACTTTTTCCATCCCACGCAAAATGCATACAACCGTGCAGCCGGCACTGGTAGAGTCCAATATATTTTTTAAGGTGAAACACTAATATAATTATTAATATAATAGTATGTTTACCAACTAAAATACAAAATAAAACCACAAAATACATTGTACTGATATTTAATTGTTAAAACGTTCTTTTTTTTCTAACAATAATAATTAGCTAATATACTGTAATTACTTTTTTCAAGTACATTGGTTTCTAAAGGTCCCCCTGTGAACATAATGGTTCATCCTCGAAAAGCAAATAGCAACATAGCCGAACAGGGCGGTCGATTTTTCCACAACAATTTTTGCAATAAATTAGCTTTTCTTTTCACTTTTCTCAATATATTTCTACAAAATATTTTACTTTGTGAAATATAGCAGCCCCTGGTCTAGAAATTAATCTCCATTTCTCCGAAGAAGGTAAGATCTGAGGCCTTTTTATTTTGCTGTTTAATTGTGTTCTGTTTTTCTCATTTTGTTTTGCATTTAGTTTGGGTAAAATGGAGGATGCAATTGTCATTGTGGGAAACCACAACCTATAATGTATAAAATGAAGCCTACGCCTATTTTCTGTTGACTCTCGGTTTTGATATTACTCGGTGAGGCTTCCCGTAATTTTTTTCTTTTTTTTTCTTGTCTTTTTTTGTTGGCTAGCTTCTGTAGTGACTATTGACAACATGGTTATAATTTTTGTTGGTGTAGCCCCACTAGTGTGGCCGTCGGTATGCTGCGCTGAACCTCTAGCCACACACCGTGTTACCGCGCGCTACTGAGGACGAAGTTTCATAAAATCTGCGGTCCGTTTCTTACATTCTCAGTTTCTGACTTTCTTATGGTTGTATTCTATGATGTTTCACCTATCACTTCTGGGATGCTTAGGTCTAATGATGTTCCATTTTCCGAGATATTCTTCAATCTTTCTGGAGCCCATATGCACTCGTGAAACGTCTAAGATTGAAGAATATCTCGGAAAATGGAACATCATTAGACCTAAGCATCCCAGAAGTGATAGGTGAAACATCATAGAGTACAACCATAAGAAAGTAAGAAACTGAGAATGTAAGAAACGGACCGCAGATTTTATGAAACTTCGTCCTCAGTAGCGCGCGGTAACACGGTGTGTGGCTAGAGGTTCAGCGCAGCATACCGACGGCCACACTAGTGGGGCTATTGTTGGTGGTGCTATTGCTAAGCAGTTTTTGATGCGATCCGGGGAAAAAATGTTGCAACCTGACGCCACTTTTTTCTTCATACATCTCAATGAAGGTCATTCATTGCAAAAAGATTATAAGACATGAACCTGGCACTGAGAAATATTTCCAATTTTGTTAGGATATACCTAAAATAAATTCTTGACTCTCCATAGACTTTGTACACAATCGCGGGAGTGGCGTCAGGTTGCAACATTTTTTCCCGATCCAGAACTGATTAAAAATATCAGGAACTAAGAAAAGCGGTATCGGTACTAAAGTTACGTCGCATATTCAAAATTAAAAAAGCTTAATTTGGAAAATAATTGTGTAGTATCTCGTGGTAATTTGTGGATTAATGGAGCTTAAAGCAGACTGAATAAATTTTGCGATCCGGAAAAAGAGAAACAACTTTATTTTTGTATTTTTGTAGTAGGGCCTATTATAGACAGTGACAGAGCAAGGAACAGAGGCTAATTTTGCGCATTACTTTTTATGTTCACGTCAGTTTCAGCATAATCACCATGATGGACGTTCCTCATCGGGTAACAACCTTTGCCTGTTTAGCATTGCTTCTAACTGTTGCCATGGCAACACAATCAGAAGGTGAGCAAGTAAAATTGAGTGTCCGCTAGGTTTGCATTAGCCTGTGTAACTTGGCAGTGAGCCACCAAGAGTTTGCTGTGGAGAGTCCACTTTTCAAGTTTACGGTCGACAAATCATGGCCCATTTGAATGAGTGTCAGTAGACAACTTGAGCTAATATGTTATAGATTGGAGCATAGCGTTCTGTCGCCTTTCAAAAAACACCATATTGATAAAAAGAAAAGAAAAGGGCAAACAGATACTCAAATCATACGCTTATGAAACTACTGACCAGAAAAACTAACAATTTCAAATGTCCCGGGCTGCGAATTTGTCGACCATCTCCCACAATGCACTGGGAAAAATGAACTCTCCGTGGCAAACTCTTGGTGGCGCACTGCATTGTGAATCGCCCGAATTCTCATGGCAACTTGTTTTTGTGTGCATTATCCTTAATTCCATGTACAGTGTTTGTTTATATCGTTAAAATGGATTTTCTGTCTTATTATTTTAAAACAGAAATTAAAGACAACCAGATTTCAATTCGCTTCGACGAAGTCAGCTTGAAACAGGTAATTGAAGTAAAGATTCCATTTAGATTGACGTTAAATCCCACCAGGATTGTTGTTTGCCCTTTTTTTCTTCAAAAGAGCTATTTTCACACTATTTTAAATCTCGGGTGACAAACAAGGCGTAAATATTTACATCAAAGTATTTATCTGGTTTTTTTTGTTCCTCCAGTGGAATGACGATACCAACAAACCTACAGACAAGTTTGTGATGGCTGTGGCTGCTAGTGTTACCACCTACTGCTCTGCGGAAGACTGCGATCTGGGAACCATGTAAGTTAAAAAAAAATTAAAAATAACCCCAACCCTGCTGAATCCAACAGGATCCAACTATATCATATACCCGATGGAGCCTGTTAGATTGAGCAGTAAACCCTTGTGTACATTCCTGAAGCAAAATGTTGGATTCAGCAGGCAACTGAACCGCATTATAACGCCAAGTTGGACTCCGTTGGATTCAGCAGGCAACTGAAAATAAGGCTCAGTGGATTGAGCAGGAAACTCCGGTTGGACTCTGTTGGATTTAGCAGGGTAGTCCTGAGAAAGTATTTGAAAATATTGTCTTGATAAAACAAGTGATTTTTTAGATGTAATTTTGCAGATGTGTGCATCTGATGGTCTAGTGGTGCAGACACTGCACTAGTAAGTAGGAGGTCCTTGGTTCAAGTCCAACCCAAAAAAGGTGTTAACATTTTTCCCTCACTTCTGCTCAGATGGCATGGAGTTGAAAGTTTCCCCGTTAAAGACCAAAAAACATGATTTAAAAAACCTTATATTCGGTCTTGTTTCGTTTGTAAAGGGTTCCGTTTACCGACGAAGATGTTGTGATTCTAGATGGCTACCCATCGGACGAAAATGCCGACGTTCAGATAGTGTTCTATGTCTCGATCGTGACGCAGGACAAACCGGCTGAAGGCAACCAGTATGCCCTGGAGAAGTCAACTCTCGAAAGTAAGAACAAAATTCCTTACACTGACAAAGATTGTTTTGATTTTTTTCCCATCAGACTTATTGGGACGAAGGTTTTGAGTAAGGAATAAAAAAAAAACAGTGTTGTTATCGAGGCCGTCATAAGTCCTCACAAGTCCTTACAAGTCCATCACAAGTTATCACAAGTTACGTCATCCAGTCCCAGATTAAGTCACAAGCTATTCTAATGAACTATGACAAAGGCATTCCTCCACTGTTTTTTGTGATTGGACTTGTGACCAGACTTGTGACCGGACTTGAATTACAACACTTGCAAAAACCACTTTTAACGACATGGTATCTAGGCAGAAAAGGTCACGTGACCATCTGGAGAATTGAACCTTTGCTTAGAATGTACCAGAGGAGGAAACTCAGTTGAACCTTCAATTGTAAAATTTACTGAGCGTCATTCACTGTAGTGAATGTTTATAACTGGGCACTGCTTGGGTTAGCAATCCTACAACGTAACAGCTGGGTTACCAACTAGAGCTGAGCACCAACGTTACCTCCACACGCTGCCAAGCGTATCAGGAATCAACATTTGCCCGACGATAAGGAGAAAGAATCATTGTGTTCTTTAGTCCAAGCAACTGTGTGTAATATATGCTCTTTTTCATCATATCTTCAGCGATCTTGAAGACAAACAAGGCAGACATTGAAAACGCCACCAGTTACGAGGTGGTTTTCATCGGTGACGAGCGCGTCGGGAAGCCCCTGGATGGCACAATGAACAGCATCATGATACCACTGGCCATCGCTACTCTGGTGGTCCTCATCCTGATAACCTTCTGCCTTCACTTCAATGAGTGAGTATCGCAAGTTCTGTCAAATTGGGTTAAAGTCAGTCACAGGTCATCATTAGTCCATCACAAGTCAATTTACAAGTTCATTTATTATCAAGTTGCAAGTTTTGATTGAGTCAGTCAATAATCATTGCAGGTCAATCACAAGTCAATCACAAGTCAATCACAAGTCAGCCACAAGTCAAATCTCAAGCCAATCATAGTCAATCACAAGTCAATCACAAGTCAATCACAAGTCAAATCTTAAGCCAATCATAGTTGATCACAAGCTAATCACAAGTCAAATCACATTTCAATCACAAGTCAATTCGCAAGTCGATCACAACTGCATTCACAACAAGCACTGTCGATATCAACATTTTTCAATAATCGAAATATCTGAAATAGAAAATTTTTTAATTTTGTTTTAAATTTTTGTCAGAAAACGGCAGGAAAAGAAGAGAGGACTTGTGACCAGCAAGCGTGCCGACATCCCATCCAATGATGCCCATGGCGAGGGAATCGTTCTGACGTCCGTCAACAAGAACTCAGGTAAGGTCTCACTGGATGGGCAAATCCAGCCGCCTCAAATAATGTCATTGCTGATTTCCACAGAACTGTTCCCAGATTTCGGGGGAACAAAATAGAGTAGGCAAGCCTATTAAAGCTGTTACCAGAATGGCACAATTTTATTTAATAGATTCCCAATGGGTATTCGCTGGAATTCTTTTCAGGCATCGTGTCTACAGTGGGACGGATTTAACCCATTCATTGGTGTTACGGGTAATCCTATACAATAGCACTGCCCGGCTGACAAGTGATAGTCAGTCGTTGAGATAAGTACAAAGATGACATTAGGCTTGGCACTCTGGGACCGGCAACAAAAATTGATATTTTTGAGACTTGTGCGAAAATCGACTACCACCTTGTGAATTTGTTTATTAACAACTAACATTCAAGGCAATATACAACATTTGCTTTTGCTGTAATTTCCGAACTGGATGGATTGGGGGTAGTACTTTATAGCAGATATTGTTACACTGACTTGTTTAAAGTTTTGTGTTCATAAGATGCTGGAAAATCCAACTTCTTGTAGTCTGGTTCCCTAACCCTACTTCAGACAAATCGGATCGATTTTTAGACGTCGGCATGTCATGTCAGGGAACCAGACTAGCTGGCTTCCACCCGTTCAGGGATGTGTAACTGAAATGTGGACTAATTAAATTTGGTAAATTGGGGGCAGTATTTAAAGAAAAAGAGTCAGTTTCTTCCAATGATGGTCGGCCGACCATCATTGGAAATTGATACAAGAATTCCACTTTACTTGGAAATGACAGCACACCAGGTGCTATGATTTCACAGGATGCTTGAGACTATTATTCACTTACAGTCAAGTAAGGTATTTCATAATAATTTTGTAGTTTGTGTTTTGATGTTTTGCAAATGTTGTATATTACCTTTATGCTGGTGTGAATTTACCAAATTTTGTAACATTCATGTGTGTGAAATAATAGTGTGAACGCTTTTGCTAAAACTTTGTTGCAAATTCCTTGCAATGTAGAAGAATGTTTTGAATGAAATGCGCATCTTAAGTAAGTATACCCGAGTTTTAAATGTTACGGGGATAAAAAAAGGTGATTGAATAATTTCCTTTCCTTGATTTTATCCCTTTATCTTTCAGTTGTGCCCATTGAGCCATCTGATCAAAACAGTAACATAAGTATGTATGTCTTCGGAATGGAACACATTGTCATGTTTTACACCGAGTTTTCTGGTTTCTTTCCCAGAAACAACCACATCCATGCAATGTTTGTCTGCGAATGCATGTTGCAGATCCATCACGTTGCAAGGTGTAGGGAAATTAGAAGTTTGAAAAGTTTGTCATAATTATGATAGTGCAGTCACGATTGCATCATTCTTGATACATGCCAACTGTTGTGCTCGTGAGGAGACCACTTTTAGACAGATGTTCCCCACTGCTAGTCATCATGTCCCCCATGTTACACAACAGACCCTTTCCAAGCCCCACTTCCTTCATTGCAAATTCTGAAATCGGCAACTCAAGTTACCCCCCCCCCCCCAGTTTATCATGATACACCTTTCGTAGTGTCACTTCCCCCTCCCTTGATCTCCTGTGTGCCCCCTGCCTCAATTGTGGCTGTGCCCCTCCCCCACCATGACTCCCCCACCATGACCCACCCACCACGACCCCCCCCCCCCACCCTTCAACTTGATCAACCCTTGAAAATTGGCATCTTGATTGTCTTTGAGTATTAAATAAACATCCCCCGCCTCCTCCCCCATCTGCTCACCCAAGCCCCTCCCACTCCAGAGCCTCTCCCATTGTCCTTAATAAGTACACGTGTATTAAACAGAGTGCACTGTGCATTCCTAATGGCATGACTGAAGCACACAATATACATGTACAGAGAAATTAGAAGCAAGTTGTTATGTGCATAACACTACAAGGACCCAACTAAAAATGTTACATAGGTATCTGATAATAGTAGAGATCCACGTCTTCTGAAGGTTCCATTTTATGTGCACAACCATGGGTGGTTGGGATGTGCACTTCAGTGTGATATATACACTATACAATGTACTTGTATTTTAAATTATGGTGACGTTTGCAAACAAGTCGAGTTGCAGCACAAATAATTCACATACTATGCAAATGTGCATGAGTGCTTCATATTATGAGGTGATGGGGAAAAAGATATTCAAAATTATTCACAAATTGGGACAGTATGAGAAAATGAATCATGCATCTTTATACATGTACCCCTTACAAAAACAATTCTATAGAATTCTATTTAAAAAAAAAATAATAGAACTTCTATAGACAAACCTACAACTCCACACAGCCCCAAAGGCTATAGAAAGAACTGCAAATGTATTCTGTTTTAGAGATTTCTGTCCATGACATCTGTAGCCGTGTTAATGTTTGTTAATCATAGAAATTCATGTTTCTGCTTCTTTGATACATCACAATATTCTACATGTGTCTCGATTGTCATCATTTAGTACGGAACTTTTTCCTCTAAACTTGTCTTCCCCTGGTTAGCTGGTGGCATCAAAAGAAATTTATAACTTTTTTTAATCAAAAAGGGATTAAAAATGAGATCAAAGAAAATATGTGATTCACTGGCAAAAGATTTCTTTGTTTTGTTTTTTTAAGATGGTGGTTGTGGGGTTCGGAAATAAGAGACTTTTTTTTAATCAGACTAAAGCCCGGTTCGTACTTCATGCGGAAGCGAATGCAAAGCGAATTTGACGTCATGAAACATTCGCTGCGAAATTCACCCGAGTTGAAATGTGTTCAACTTTTACGAATTCGCAGCGCGAATACTTGCCATGACGTCACAAATTCGCTTTCGCTTTCGCGCCGAGTATGAACCGGGCCTGAGAAAATCACCCACCATGACCACCAGCTTTCTGCATGGCACCAACACCATTTTCTCAAACGATGGTTGTGATTTAATATCACATTTCCAAACACCATAACTGATGCAAACAACTGACCACCTATGTATCACATCTGTGCAAGATGTATTCAACCGCAGCTGGACGCCAATTCGCTGTGGTGTCGTAGCTGCGGAATTTCAAAATCGATGTGATGTGCAATTTAGTATGTGAACCTCTGTTCAAATCAGGAAAAGTGAATTTTAAAGTAAACTAAGACTACATCTAGTGGTAGTTTTGATCTGAATTGTATATTGACTTGTCGTTTACCTAGTGGGACAGAAAGGGGAAATATTTGGGGGAATTGTGCCTTTGATGATACAAGCATGGCATTTGGCACGCGGTGCCACACGGTCTGGGTACATGTACCGGTACATGTATGTCTACAGAAAGATATTTGGCTATAGGACCATCACAGATTTGTCCTTTGAAAAATATGGGTACAATAACAAGCAATTTTCAACATTTTCAAAATGGCTGCCATTGCTTGTTATTCTACCTATATTTGCATCAAAGGACAAATCTGTGACATCAAAGGCACAATTCCATCACCTATCTGCGGTGCTAAATTGATGACTTCAAATGTGAAGTATTGTCTCAAAAAAGATTTTTTTTTTAAATTCCTGATTTTAATGGAGAATATCACATTAGTCCACTTGTTCATATGTTTTTGAATCTTCTCTTTGAAAATCCTAGCAGTTCCAATGGCCAATAAAGTCAGTCCACAATTTGAACAAAATCGACGTCCAAATTTGTTAGCATTTTACGAATTTTACAACATGGCACTGCTAGGGTTAGATTGTGTGATTCTTCCATTAGTAACTCTTTCTCTTTTACATGTTTTTGTTGTATTTCTTCTCTTTATTCTCAATCCCCATCCCTCCTCTATTTTCTCTTCACCGACTGGCAATCTCCAGAAGATGATGATGACGATGAAAACCCTAAAGCGTAGTCGTCAAGCGTCCCCCGCGACAAGTTTTCTTAAAGTCTCTTTTTTCAGGTATCCATCGTGTCCATGCATGTCAACATCTCGCACCATAAATTTACTAATGGTTCCCGACATTCCAGCTTGATTTTAATTTGGGGCTAATTCGAATCGAAGTAGTTTTTCTCAGGAAAACAAACTGTAGAAATAATACTTGTATATTTGCACGTTTGTACTTTGAAAAGAAAGATACAAATGGACAACTTGTTACGCAACAGAGTCTTTCATAAAATAAAATTAGAAAAGTCAGCCGTGTGCATTTTGGATTTTTTTTCTTGTTTTGGAAATATTTGTTTTTTCTTTACTTGCAGAATAAATTTTTCTCCATCAAATGTCGAATTATTTGGTTCATAAATTTCGGCAACTTAATTTTGATTTATTTTTTCGAGGTCTGAAAAATTTATCAGTGAAACAATTTCTGTGAGTAATTTTGACAAGTTTCCGTTTTTTGTTTTCCCGGTTTTAACTGCCTCATAATCATTAGCCCTAAATCAGCATCATTCTTTGATTACAAAAATTCATTTAACCCTTTTTTTTAAATTTTCTGTGTTCCCCCTGGTCAACCCGTTCCCCACCATCAAACAAAAAATCAAATGCTTGTTTCTTTGTTTTCCCACCGCATCCAAATTATTGCCTTGTCGTGGTTGTGGCACGGTGTCTGTACAAACACACACACTGCCTGCTTTATGTGGCTATTTCAGCCGAGGCACCGGTTCAAGGCGGGGCACCGGCTCAAGTTTGAAAAGGGTCCGTCGCAATCAAACACGCTTGAAAACATCAAAGTGAGTTAACTTGTAAAAGGTTAAACAAAAACAAAAATGCTTCGCCTGCTATTTGCTGTAGTGTCTGCTGATGCTGTTTGTAAAACTTGTTCAGTTTGCCTGCAATTTTTGATTTTTCTTTTGGTTTGTTTTCAAGCTTCATGGATATCGCATTATATTCTTGTAAAAGTTAGTTAGTGTCTTGTAGTGCTTGCTAATTTTGCTTTTGTTTTAATAAGTGGTGGCATAGCTAAACCAGACAGATGAGCATGATTGTATCAATTTACCAAACAAAGTGGCGTGCTGTTTTCCGCAGCCTTCAAAAACATGTCAATATAATCGTTTTTGGAAAGATATGCATACTACTTAAGGCCAAAAAAATAAAATATTCGGTCTCTGGTCAGACCAAAGCTCCGGAATTGATGCGGCGATGCGTTTTTTTGTTTGGTTTTTTTGGGCCTTTTTTTTTTTTGAAGGTTGGATTGTACAGACAAGGTGGGTACTATTTTGCTTTTGTTGTGTCCTCATATACATCGGGGACCTCCATAATTTGCCTTGGTGCCCTCCATCATTTGCCTTGGTGCAATTTCTCCATTCCTTGGTACAAAAATTTGAGGAGGTGCGGCAATAGAGGGCGCTGCTGTAGCTACCGCGGACAAATTGAAGATTTGAATGATTAAAATCGACGCACGCGCTGACCAGAGACCGATTTATTTATTTTTTGGCCTAACCGTTAGTCCTAACTTCTCTGATCCAAGCTTTGATTTCCCAGCGTTTTTAAAGTTGAACAAAGACATTGACAGGAGTAGGGTTTGAACCTGCGACCTCCGGATTGCCGCTCCGGTGCTCTACCAACTGAGCTAGCCAGCCCTGTGGTTGGGGGTTCCCCATTTTGTCAGGGTCTTTGTTCAATTTCTCAGCTACTAGAATTGCCTTTTTTGATCAGCTAACTAAGGAGTAGAGTAGACAAGTTTGAAGTCAGATTTGGGTTCAATTTGAGTATCTGGGATTCAATATTGCAGGCTTTCAAGTATTCCTACTTTTTCTATTTTTTTCACAGTTTTTGTTACCTTGCTCTACTTTTGCTACTTTTTTGCCCCACAACTCAGAGAAGTGAAATCTCATGGAATATTTTTCATAACAGTGTTACACACTGTTGTATGTAAATCACACAATGAAGGGCTTGGGCGCAGGAGTACTGCAACTGTACTTCCAAGAGCTTAGTTGAGGATGGAGCACAAGTGTTGTGAGTACAGAACATGCCAAATGAGCATGGGCGTAGCAAGGGGGGGGGGGGGCACTTGCTGAGGCTTGCTGTGGACATGGTTGAGTATCAACGAAAACTACATGTACATGTGCTCCTGAAAGCCCGCAAAAGTCTAACTTATTATCCTGATTTTGTCCTCCAGAGTCCTACTTTTGTCCTTTTTTTTCTATACTGTTCTCCTACTTTTTTTTACCTGGATTTGCTTCAAAGCCTGCTATTGACTTGAATTTTGTGTCAGGGAGGGTTAACATTGGCATTTAATTGGCCCGGTTTAATTGATGGTTGTTTCTGTGTGAGTTGTTATTCTGGTAATGTACCGTCCATGCATGTTCTGTGGTGGATATGGTGTCTATATTATTGCGTAATTTGCTATGCATGATGGGCAGTGTGCATGCGGATTGGCTAATAACGGGTTAATATTCAGATATGATGGTATAGTGGCACACTAATTTTGGTGATTATATTTAAAATTACCAGATAGTTCTGTGAGCAATTTAAATATTTATATAACATTGTAACCTCTGATATCATGACTGCATGTGTGCCAAAACTGCACTGTTCGAACCTTTAAAAAAATTGTGAAATTGTGAAATTTATATATAAGAATTAAAGAGATTTAGAAAACATGGGGGAAATATGATTTTAAGAGACCAGATTTCTTGCATTGAATAATTCTTGCTGAAATTTGCAGTTGTAATTACACCTAAGCATACATGTATACATGTACCTTCGTGCAAAATATTTCTTTATTTTTTTTTTCTAAAATATTTACCACTGCATTATAATAAGGGATGGTATTTCTATTCATATTTGTTGATTTATTATTAATGTAAAAAAGTACCGTCTGAGTAAATATTACTCTGTCGTCCTGGTGATTCCCATAAAAAAAAATATCATAATTTGTCAATAGAGCCCATCCCTATTTACATCACCATTGTACGTGTTCTTCACGGTTTGTGAACGCAACAACCCTCATCTAGTTGATTGCACCTGACGTGGCATGCCCACAAAGCGTAACATTCCTTACTGCATATTGACAGATAATACGACCTGCATGTATTTATTATGCTAATTAGTACTGAACAAGGGCGTTCATAGACTTGCTATCAGTCACACCATTTCTATAATCCATATTTGCATTCCAACTGGAATACTAACAAAATGTGTACTCAATTTCCACTTGTATCAATTTAGTTTTTTGCATCCATTGTTTTCAATCTTATCTTTTCTTTTTTAACTTCTTTTTTGTTCATTTAGTTGCTGACATTTAATCCTTTTGTCAAATTTAAGTAAAATTTACAAGAGAAAACACAGATTGTTATGAGGTTTTGGACTCTAAAAAATTAAACGAATAAGATTCAATCGTTTTTTTATATAATTAAGCATACACTTGTTCCTAGTCTCTTCAAATCTCCCTTCTGCCTTGCTTACATTAGATCAATGCTTTACCATAAATACAAGCTTCTCATGCAAACATAAACCATTTCAAAATTAGTGCATTTTTTCTTTGTAGAAAAAAAAGTAGATGAAAGCATTTCCAGAAAGATGTCTATTTTTAGTTTGCAAATTTGCTGTTCAAAAAGAAAGTTTTTGAAAACAAAGGCTTTGCTTGCATCCTTTGTCGTTGAGCAATTTCTTATTTTTGGTTATTGTTTATTTTATTTTCTGCTTTTTCAGGCAAGGAAAAGAAAACAGGTTGTCGAGAACCGAGACGCAAGAAGAAGAAACTTGGCAGCAGCAAAAATGGAGAAACTCCCGACGAAACCGGGTCGGCTACGACCACACAGCATATAGATGTCCACCCCATCCCTCAAGCTAATGGCACAAACTCCGTCCATCCCACTTCTGACCCCAAACAGGGACCAACCGTCAACGGTTCCCATGCCTCGGTCAACACCAACACCAATTCTAACAAGGACTGGGACATTCGCAACGCAGCCCCCGTGAAAACGAAAAGAGGCGAGAAGTATCGCTCGCGACAGATCGAACCACCGCCGTTCAATTCGGATGCAAGACACGCATCCCAAGATGGCGCGACGGAATTCCTTATTGACTCGGACGTTGCAAGCCACTCCTCTAACCCCGGCTGCATTGACAATGGGACGGACGAACACCACGGCGACTATCAAGGCAGTCAGGCGAGGGCAGCAGACAAGGAATACCTCATCCAGCCTCAAGGTCGGTTACCCCCGCTGGTCAGAACTTCTGATAGTTCATCTCCGGCGATAGAGCTGTAAAGGAAAGTTGTAATCCATTTTGACTTCGCTTGTGTGTGATTTTGCCGTCCCTCTTTGATAAGCCTTAGAGAGCCAGAACCGGCTGTGAAACAACAGATTTTATTCCCCTTGAAAAAAAAAAAGAAGGAAACCCACTTTTGACAGCAATTTTCACCTACTTGTTGAGCATATTTCAAAAATTCAATTTAATGGTCACCAAAAAAAATGATTGCTAATACAATTTTGTCTCTGAGATATGGTAGTTTAAAAATTTTGTTCATGGACAGCTAATCCATCCGCTTGACTTAGCTCCGGATCTGGATTTGAATAATAATAACAATAACACATTCTTATATAGCGCATTTCAGGAGCTCGCAATGTGCTGTATAATTCATAAACAATTAAATACACGACTAAGGAAAACAATTTTCAAATAAATGAGCCACAACAATTCCAAGTCAGTTATTGATCGCAATGACACTGGGAGAGAATTCCAAAGTCTGAAGACAAAAAAATACACTAGACATACACGTGGACAACAGTGATTTTGGTGACTTGTACATGACATCAAATTAGCACAATAGCATGATTCTTGCGATTCTTTAAAAGATTTTGTTTTGCACCACGTATGGTTCAAGAGCTATACTTCACTACATTATAGAAAAGTTCAAATAAGTTAAGTAAGTAGGTTAAAATTCCTTTCGAAATTGGGTTTCCTTCTTTTTGCACCACTAAGTGGAGGACACCCCTGCCATGGCTCTCCAAGGGTTAAGCATTATATTAAGTCTCTAGAAAAAAATCTTTAGAAGTATATATTTAAGGTAAAAAGAGTTTTATTCAATTTTGCTGCTGTCAAGTTAATGATTTTTACTTATTTATTTCTTTTTTACCCTTTTTGTAATCTTTATTGTAAGAATTCAATGTAGAAGTGTGCATGATATTAGGTTCAGTTTTTAATATGGTGGTTGCAATATCTAACTATTAACTTTAAGAAAAAACATTGTGCTATGGTGTATATACATTGCCATTTGGCAATACCATTTTAAAACTGTAGATGTCCTTCAATTGATTTGTGTCCATTTCTATCGCGAGCATCTTTTGGGACTTTCATTTTGGGAACATGGCTTTTTTGCGTGAAAGAAAACAGTGTTCCTGGTGCAGTTTTGTGGATGAACATGTTCTTGCATGTACTCCAGCATAGCTGTGAGATGCTCCCTTACAATGGGAGACTTTTGTACATGGAGATTACTCTTTTAATTGATTGAAAACACCTGTCGTTTAATTCTGTACTTGATCCCCATCAGTGTGATTGATTCATGTAGATACAGTCGAGTCTTGTTAATACAAACTCGTTCGGACCTAGCCAAATTGTTTGTTATATCAGAAGTTTGTATTAAGAGGAACATCAGTCCCATTCATTGTGCACATAAATGCACAGCGGGGACTAAGGCTTTATGTTTGTTATAACCAGAATTTTGTATTAACAGAGTTTGTACTAACGAGATTGGACTGTAATTTATTCCATGCAGTACTTGTTTGCTCAAATTCGTTTATCTTTCATCATGTTCATTACCAAGTGCCAGTCAATCCGTACAGTACTTCCTATCTATTTTTTGCACCAATTGCACGTACTACTACTGAATAGTGTTTTGTGACTCGGTGGTATCGCTGAACCAGTATTTCGAATGTTGGGCCAACATTAAAAATGATCACGCTCCCTCTCCTCAGTAACTTTTCCAAGGCCAAATCATTTTAAGACTAGTACTAGCCCATTCAGGTAGAAGAACTCGTCAATTTCATGTATTAGAACAACGGATGGGATGCAATCTTTAAATGTGTATGCAAATCCTTGCTTGTAAATATATACAAAAGATTTGCCTTTCAAAGCATTTTTTTTTATAATCTTGACAATTTTGAGATGAAACAAATAATCATCGTAATGAGTTGTGCGGTCGATTTGAGTTTTATGGCTTCGATGTTATATTTTGGTTGCTATTATTTAACAGGGTATGCTAGTTGCAATCATAGTATCACAAATGAGCAGTTTTTTGCTGGTAGCAAGCATTTTGCATGCTCTCCACAAAACAATGATTAATCTATTCTTTGTCAAATATAATATTATAAGTAAACATTTTTCCCCTAAACTGTTAAACTGACGGGCAGCCTTTATAAATGTGTTCCACTTTTGCCAGTTCATCAGTCCAGCTAAGGGAACCATTTTACATCATTTCGGGTTTTTTTTTTATAAAACTAGTCTTTCAGCAAACGTTTTGACTTCGTTTTAAATCACAGTTGTACTGGTGTAGTATTTTGTGTTTATTTTGAGATTTTTAAAGGGGTTATTGTTTCATGAGACATGATGTGTAAATTATAGTAGTTTTTTTTTAATGTTCTGGAATTTTTGGAATGCTTTTGAAGATTTTTTTATTACTGCTTTGATCTGTTATTTATTTAACTTTTTGCTTGTTTTATTAAACACATAAAATGTTATTGGTGTGATTGCATTTAAAGGTAATATTTGGTCTTTAAATCAGGAACAAAATGAAGTGTTTAAAATGAGCTCAGTCGATCATCATTGCAAGGTTTTTATTTTTTGAAGAAGTCTTTTCTTAAAAACAGTCCTGCATATTGTCTTATTACAGTTTTCCACTTCCATGCCTGAATTGTATACCTCTTTGCATATTGCGGAATAATAATGTGTGAAAAAAAGTATCATTGTTTCTTTGTTTGTACTGTAAAATTAAGTTATTGCTGCAGGCCACACCAACTACTGAAGAACATTCATGACGTGCTCCAAAAATATTAATGTTCATTCTCGGACATCGTGGGGTTTTTTTCACCAAAATTTTGTAAGAATGGTTTGAATATTGCAAAATACTTCCTGGCTGTAAATGTTTTTTTTGCGTCGTTTTTAGAAAACTCATTTTTTGGCCAAATTTCATTTAAAATGCAATTTTTGTCAAAAAATAAAATTGCTCCAAATTTCCTCGAAAGACTCCTAAGGGACCCTAGAACACATTCCAACTCTAGTTAGGGAGAAGATATATCATTAAAAAATATCATATTTTGGCCAAATTTCATTAAAAATGTAAGGCTAACCCCTTGCATTTTTTGTCAATTTTGGCCAAAAAAATGAAATTGGTCGAACCTTCCTGGAAAGACTCCTAAGGGACACTCGAACACATTCCAACTCGATTTAGGGACAGATATATCAATAAAAAAAAAATAATATTTTGGCCAATTTTCATAAAAAAATGTAAGGCTAACCCCTTGCATTTTTTGTCAATTTTGGCCAAAAAATGAAATTGCTCGAAACTTCCTGGAAAGACTCCTGAGGGACCCTGGAACACATTCCAATTCGATTTAGGGACAGATATATCAATACAAAAAAAATAATATTTTGGCCAATTTTCATAAAAAATGTAAGGCTAACCCCTTGCATTTTTTTCAATTTTGGCCAAAAAATGAAATTGCTCGAAACTTCATGGAAAGACTCCTGAGGGACCCTCGAACACATTCCAACTCGATTTAGGGACAGATATATCAATACAAAAAAAATAATATTTTGGCCAATTTTCATAAAAAATGTAAGGCTAACCCCTTACATTTTTTTCAATTTTGGCCAAAAAATGAAATTGCTCGAAACTTCATGGAAAGACTCCTAAGGGACCCTGCAACACATTCCAACTTGATTTATGGACAGATATATCAATACAAAAAAAATAATATTTTGGCCAATTTTCATAAAAAATGTAAGGCTAACCCTTTGCATTTTTTGTCAATTTTGGTCAAAAAATGAAATTGCTCGAAACTTCCTGGAAAGACTCCTAAGGGACCCTGGAACACATTCCAACTCGATTTAGGGACAGATATATCAATACAAAAAAAATAATATTTTGGCCAATTTTCATAAAAAAATGTAAGGCTAACCCCTTGCATTTTTTTCATTTTTGGCCAAAAAATGAAATTGCTCGAAACTTCATGGAAAGACTCCTAAAGGACCCTGCAACACATTCCAACTTGATTTAGGGACAGATATATCAATACAAAAAAAATAATATTTTGGCCAATTTTCATAAAAAATGTAAGGCTAACCCCTTGCATTTTTTGTCAATTTTGGTCAAAAAATGAAATTGCTCGAAACTTCATGGAAAGACTCCTAAGGGACCCTGGAACACATTCCAACTTGATTTATGGACAGATATATCAATACAAAAAAAAATAATATTTTGGCCAATTTTCATAAAAAATGTAAGGCTAACCCCTTGCATTTTTTGTCAATTTTGGTCAAAAAATGAAATTGCTCGAAACTTCCTGGAAAGACTCCTAAGGGACCCTGGAACACATTCCAACTCGATTTAGGGACAGATATATCAATACAAAAAAAATAATATTTTGGCCAATTTTCATAAAAAAATGTAAGGCTAACCCCTTGCATTTTTTTCATTTTTGGCCAAAAAATGAAATTGCTCGAAACTTCATGGAAAGACTCCTAAAGGACCCTGGAACACATTCCAACTTGATTTAGGGACAGATATATCAATACAAACAAAATAATATTTTGGCCAATTTTCATAAAAAATGTAAGGCTAACCCCTTGCATTTTTTGTCAATTTAGGTCAAAAAATGAAATTGCTCGAAACTTCATGGAAAGACTCCTAAGGGACCCTGGAACACATTCCAACTCGATTTAGGGACAGATATATCAATACAAAAACAAATAATATTTTGGCCAATTTTCATAAAAAATGTAAGGCTAACCCCTTGCATTTTTTTCAATTTTGGCCAAAAAATGAAATTGCTCGAAACTTCATGGAAAGACTCCTAAGGGACCCTGGAACACATTCCAACTCGATTTAGGGACAGATATATCAATACAAAAAAAATAATATTTTGGCCAATTTTCATAAAAAATGTAAGGCTAACCCCTTACATTTTTTTCAATTTTGGCCAAAAAATGAAATTGCTCGAAACTTCCTGGAAAGACTCCTAAGGGACCCTGCAACACATTCCAACTCGATTTAGGGACAGATATATCAATACAAAAAAAATAATATTTTGGCCAATTTTCATAAAAAAATGTAAGGCTAACCCCTTGCATTTTTTTCAATTTTGGCCAAAAAATGAAATTGCTCGAAACTTCCTTGAAAGACTCCTAAGGGATCCTGCAACACATTCCAACTTGATTTAGGGACAGATATATCAATACAAAAAAAATAATATTTTGGCCAATTTTCATAAAAAATGTAAGGCTAACCCCTTGCATGTTTTTCAATTTTGGCCAAAAAATGAAATTGCTCGAAACTTCCTGGAAAGACTCCTGAGGGACCCTCGAACACATTCCAACTCGATTTAGGGACAGATATATCAATACAAAAAAAATAATATTTTGGCCAATTTTCATAAAAAATGTAAGGCTAACCCCTTACATTTTTTTCAATTTTGGCCAAAAAAATGAAATTGCTCGAAACTTCATGGAAAGACTCCTAAGGGACCCTGCAACACATTCCAACTTGATTTATGGACAGATATATCAATACAAAAAAAATAATATTTTGGCCAATTTTCATAAAAAATGTAAGGCTAACCCTTTGCATTTTTTGTCAATTTTGGTCAAAAAATGAAATTGCTCGAAACTTCCTGGAAAGACTCCTAAGGGACCCTGAAACACATTCCAACTCGATTTAGGGACAGATATATCAATACAAAAAAAATAATATTTTGGCCAATTTTCATAAAAAAATGTAAGGCTAACCCCTTGCATTTTTTTCATTTTTGGCCAAAAAATGAAATTGCTCGAAACTTCATGGAAAGACTCCTAAAGGACCCTGCAACACATTCCAACTTGATTTAGGGACAGATATATCAATACAAAAAAAATAATATTTTGGCCAATTTTCATAAAAAATGTAAGGCTAACCCCTTGCATTTTTTGTCAATTTTGGTCAAAAAATGAAATTGCTCGAAACTTCATGGAAAGACTCCTAAGGGACCCTGGAACACATTCCAACTTGATTTATGGACAGATATATCAATACAAAAAAAAATAATATTTTGGCCAATTTTCATAAAAAATGTAAGGCTAACCCCTTGCATTTTTTGTCAATTTT